TGTAACCCTGTGCTGCTGGACAAAATGAGAACACATCTTTTTTTCCCCTGCTGGCATGTTAAAAGAATGTATTACTTTTGCTTTGATGGGAAGAGCTTAGCTAAATGTATGGCAAGGGCAGGGACCAGGACTCTGAGTACTGATCTTACCTATATCCTAGACCTTCTTAAACAGATCAAGGTGAAGGCAAAAGGGTATGTTCACTTGGTTATTTTTATAGTTTGCATCTATTTTTCAAAAGTTTTGCTAAGTGGTGCATTTCTCCCTGACTTTGATACTTAAAAATTGTAGATCCTTTTGTATGGAGTCCCCCTTTTGTGCCCTGTTTTAGTGAAGACCATACTTTTGGGTTGTGCTACCCATTACATATGACAGTCAGAGCAGGCAGCAGAACTTAAATTACTAAYCACATTGCATGGTAGTGGTCTTGCTGCGGGGCACCTAAAGAAGGAGAAATATCTGGGAGTGGGCTGATCATCCAGCATGATGTCAGAATTTTAAGAGTTTTATAGTGGGGAATAGTACTGCTAACTACCTCATCTACGAGAGTTTTTAGCTTGTAGCTTCACAAGTTTGTGAGTGTGTCTCCACTGCTTGCAGAAGAACGATCCCGGATCTCATAACCATGTCATTATCTGCTGAACTGGTCGATTTCCAGAAAGTTTCAGCACTTGCWTCATTGGTGCTAATATTTGTGAGCACAGAGGAGTCAGGCTGGACTGTAAGAAGYGGCTCTTGTGAGAGGTTAATGTGTGAGTTTCCTAATGTACATTAGAAACACTGAGGAAATACATGTTTTTACRTCTTAAATTATGATCTTCATGACAGTATGAGATACTAAGATAGTAAGTTGCTTAATAAAAAAGGTATGTTAAAAAGCATTAATGCAGCTAATTTTCATGTTTCAAATTTTGAAAATCCTGCTGCTGTTTAAATGAAACATTTACATGCTGTTCCATGTGGTAAATGAAACGTAAGTCTCCATTTTTACATTTGAATAAAGTTTTTAATGACATAGTAATAGTTTCTGTAATGTAAGGGCATTTGAGGTATTTGGTAGCTATTTCATTACATATTAAATGTAATGTCAGGGACTGTATGTTGAGTTTTGGCTATTGCTGACATATACCCTGGCAGAATAATGTTCCAGGACTTTGATGGTTCCTGTCGAGAAGATGGTTGTGAATACAGAGAGGGTAAACTCCTGTTGGTGTGTTAAGGTAGAATGTATGTGCTTTTTCAGATCACTCTTACTGGGGTAAAACCTTACTAAACCAAAGCTAAAGGTTTGGATTTTCATCCGTCGTCCAAAAGCTCGAGATAAAGTAGGAGAAAAACGCCTGTCTTGTAACATGTGGGTAACTTTCTCAGTCCTTAGCTCCCCAAAACTTTATYTGAAACCTAAGTGTGAAGTTGTAAAAACATAAATCAGAAAGTATTTTGCCAAAATCTGTGTATTTCCCTTGGCTCAGTAAGAAACTAGGAAATTTTCCTCGATTAAAAGCTGTAGGGAGTTGCCTTTTTTAAGCCTGATTTCCTAAGAAAATGAGGTTTATGTGTTTCCCTTGTTTTCTCTCATTCTTTCCTTACATATTCACCAGTAGCTTTTGAAATCATTGACCAATTGTAGCCGTTTTTGTAGGAGAGATGGAATCACAGTCTGTAATGTTGCCACAGGTTTTGGGAAAATGGGCAAGCTGGGTAGAGAGAAATGTGTCACTGCTCTCTCTTGAGAGAGATAATGCAATGGGATTTTGGTACTGACCTGTTTTTTTCAGCATGTGTCTGTGTTGGATAGGAGAACAGGGGTTGTATGTGTCATCAGGGCTTGAGGAGAAAGGAAGAACATTGGGCTGTTTTGGAAAGAAATGGGGACCAACCATATAGCGGTGTGACATTATAGAAAAAAGATATCTAATAATATAAAGATTTTAATTTTTAATAATAAAAATAATATTTTTCTATTAGCATAAGAAGAAAAGATATTATTTCCCAAATCAGATTTCCAGTAAGCCCAATCTTCTGTCTTGTARCATGAAGTAACGAGATGAGAAGCAGGAGCTGAACTTCTGTGTAGAATGGCATTTCTTGGCTACTTTCATCTGGCCTATATTTGCATTACCTATTTATCCTTATAAACAGCAGATTGAATTCTACCTGATCATGTTCAACTTGAAGATATTTATCTCAATAGAGAAATGTAGGGTGTCCTGCTAATTGATTTAGAAAAACTTCTCAAAAACTTACTAATGGTAAAAGTGAAGAAAACATTAACAGCTTGTGCTGCTTTAATTTCTAGATAATTCTCTGATGTATAGTACAAAATACGCTTTTCAAGCCTTCAGTAACCATAATCTTCACAAATTTTAATTTATTGATTGCAAGTATTAAAATAGTTAATTTTTAAAATATCATAGTGGACTGCAAATTAAGTGATTTTGACTTGTGCTTATTTTAAAGTAGTTTTCATAGTAACAGCAAATACTCTAATGGAAACTGGTTTTTCCTCTGTTGTGAGTAGAAAATCTAGTAGCAGCATGAATCACAGCTTCCAGGAACTGTCAGAATAGGAATGCAGATTCTTTCTCTGTCTCACACACACACATATACACACTTTCCTGTCAGTTTTAATGTAGTAATGTGATTTAATAAAGTTTTCTTGCCATCTGTGGCATCAACATCCATTGTATGTAATCAAGCTACTACTAGCAGTTGTGTGTTTAAGAACTACGGGTCAGGGTTAGTATGGTAATTCTACTTACAGTTCTCTAACATCTTGGCAATTTTACATGTAGTATATTTTTCTGGAAATGTTTTAGTTGTTAAAATGTTGTATTTAATTTTTTTTATATAGTCTTTTTTTTTTCCAACTCAGAAGCTTTAACTGAACATTTTGTACTGCCCTAAAGCTTGTCATGATGTTTCATAGATAATAAGATAGAGTTTCAGCTTTGAGAAGCTTGTGATCTGAATTTCACTGACATAGAAAATGAGGAGAATGACCTCAGAAAGGGGGACAAAGATTCAAATTAATAAGCAAGTTACAGTGAGTGAATTAAACAAGTTCTCATTTCTAAGAACATGGTAAGATAGACCAGCAACAAGTAATACGAGAATATAGAAGCAAAAGACAGCATAAAGCAAGTCCAAATAATATAGGGGATGGAGGAAAAGAAGCAAAATATTTTGCAGGGTCTGGAAAGCATAATGAAATCAGAAAGGGACTCTCAATCAAGAGGAAGAGTACCTAGAAGGTTTTGGGAAATGGGACAGGGAAAAGATCTGTAGAAACTTACAAATTWTGTAGATGGGTTTAGCTCTTCTGAAGAAAAAGAGACAGGAAAAGGATTTGAGAATATGGTGTTTTGATYAGTTTGGCGGGGAGGCTAGAACATCAATACTAATTAGTATTTGTGTGTATTGTGGGTTTTTTTTAATCCTTTAAGAAATTTAGCTGTCACTGAAACTTGCTTTTAAAAATAAATGACAAAACAATAGACAGCTGTGCCTGAAAATTTTATCTCAGGCATTCGTGTTGCTCTGTCACCTTTTATTACACATGGTTTTTCTACAAGCTGGAGGACTTTGTATGAATGTCAGTGGGACAGTTGAGGGTGGGACTATAGAAGATTTTAACATCAATGGTGATTGACATACTACCACTTTGTCTGTGTCAAGAGGATCACAAAGTTTTTCAATAAAATAACTGAAATGGCTTTTCCAAATTGTTGTAATTAAATTTATACTGCCTTTATAGTGACAATTAAATTTATGGTTGGTTTAGATTAAGTTGATTTTTGTGTTGCCAACATAAGAAATGAAAAATAATCTTTCCTAATTGGGATAGATTTTTTTAAAAATGCATCTGGGCTTCCTGTCCTGTAGAATATAGTTYGCCATTTCTTATCTGTGTACTACTATTTATTCAAAACATTGATTTCTGGCATTAGAATATTTCATTTTGCTACATAGAAGAACAGATATGTACATGATAATGATCTGCGTTTCTTATCCTGTTAGGCCTGGCAGTAGATCTTCCTCAAGCTTTGGTGTTCTTCTTCCCCAGGTTGACAGCTTCTTTCTATGTTGTATGTATTGGGGGACAAGGTGGTAAAGAATAGGGGTTTAGAAGTTACTTTGTTTTGGTTATTTTRTATCAAAGGAAATCTGCCTATCCTTGCATACAATGGAAGGGAATAGACTTACGTATGCCTTAAAGGATATGCTTTGCCATATTCAGCTTTGGGAATGCTGAACAGAAAGTATCAATAGTGTCCAGCAGATTTCCAGCAGGTTGTCATCAGTGAGATTTAATTACCCTGTTGGTTCATGTGTATTTAAAGCACAACACTGTATGTAGGAATACAGGATTTTTGATCTGTAGTAGGTAGGGAGCTATTTCTTCGTTGCATAASTAGAGTATTTGTGTATAGAAATCTCTATTGTATAGTTAGCTTTTGCTCAGAATAGCTTACTGAAATTGTTTTCTCATTAGTGAGGGGAGTTTGTTCTCTAAGAGTTTCAAGCCATGTTTTCCGAAGTCGTTCATGTCCTCCTTGAACCGTAGTACACACAGTTAAGATTTTATTGATGCATTTTCTTTGCATATATTGATGTTCTTAATACAAAGGTCATAATAYAATTCAAAGCAGTTGTATTACAATATTTGTAATATTAATGTTTTGTGGACATCATTACAGCTGTAAATTTCATGTTGCTGTTGGGCTATTGCATTTGTCTCGCAGGTTTGGATTTCAGACAGTGCCAGAGCTGTGTAAAAGGTGGTGTGCAATGTTGAATTTCTCCTTCATGAGTATTTACTGCCTTATATTGAATAGAGGAATTGAAAAAAGGTGAAATTGTGGACAATTTAGGGATGCATATAAAATAACTGAAATGGTGGGAGTGAAAACAGAAATAATCAAGGGCTCACCTCTGCAAGTTGTTTTGAACAGATTAATTTTTGTAGAACTGTGAGGTTTTTTGTTGTTTTTCAGAAGACTGTGCCAAAGAAGACTTTTACTCAGATGACATCACATTTGGACTACTTATGCTACCCACCCACTCTACAAGGCACAATGTATTTCTAGGCAATTTAAGTAAGTATGTAGATTCTATTGCTACTGGAGCAGTAATACTTTACACAGAAACATATCTTCCAACCTTAGGCAAGGTAGACATTCTACTTCCATTTGAGATTCAAATTAATGGTGTGTGTGGGCAAGAATAAACTTCAAATAAGCTTTTTATAAGCTTTTATCCTGTACATTGGAGCATGGAGTGAARCAACTGAACTGTACCTGAACTGCCTTGGAAACTAGAAGGAAGGAAAAAAACAGACCTTATGCAGGCAGTCCCTGGCAATGAAGTGTTTTTATGTGGCCCTGTGGTTTCTAGAGACAAGACTAATATTTTCCCAGGGATTGTGCAGTGAATGAGTGTATGTACTACCATGCTCACTGCTTTTCTGAGTGGGATTTTTTGGGTTTGGATTTTTTTTTTCTTCCTAGAGGCTCTTTTTAAAGTGAAGATGGCCTTAATACCCCTTTCATGTAATGACATAGTAGAGGAATGCATCTTAAGGGGTTCAGGTGCCAATATCTGTTCACATGTCACCTTACTTGTGAATGGGGTCGTATCTCCCCTTTTCCTTGATTAAACACTATGTACTGTCCAGCTGAGGATGGGCCAAGAAGAGCAGATTTTCATCTTTGCAAGATTTGTCCAGGTGTTACCTTGCAGTAAGATTAGTGATTACTTTGTGCACCATGCAGAGAGGAGCACACAAGAGCAGGGTAGTTTGTTTATGGTTCATCTTACGAGCAGCAAAGGGGTTTTGATTCAATATAAAATGAGGATCATGGCCATGGCCCTCTGCAGACTTCATGTATGTGTTTTTTTGCTCAATTTTTCTAAGTAGGTATTACTTTTCAGATGTTATGTTGGTTTTTGACTCAGTCAAAACATATACTTTTATACTGTGTCAAAAAAAATCCCCAAGAAATGGATCTATTTATGTAGATCAGACATGTTGCCAGTCTTGCTGAAATGGGATTTTTTTGTCTTCCTGGCAGAAAGCCTTCCTGTATTCCTAATGGCTTATAATGCATTGGAGGTGTTTGGTCATGCATGAAGTTTGGTCATGAATGGAATTACAGGTAGTAGTGCTTATAGTTAATGATGCTTGACACTTTCTATTTCAGAACTCTGGTTTTAGTTGCTTATAATTTAGTAAGTCTTAAATCTCTGAGTTGTATGTCTCCTTCACCTAAAATTCTATCAAATGTCAGCTTGTGTCTGAGAATGAGTTGAGAGGGAAAAACATATTGTTTTCTTGATGCAAAATGCAATGAAAATCTTGCCACTGGAAAAATAAAGCACCTGTGTATGCTGGAGCCAGCACTCAAGGTTTTAGGAGAAACAAATTGTTTTGCTGCAGTATTAGCCTATTTTTTGGTGCTATCCCAAACTCCTACATTAGGCAGCATGATAGATTTCTGAAAATATGTTTTGTGCCAGTTCAGTGAATTTCCTAAATCCATTTCATCTGTCCAAATCAGATGAGGTAGATATATTCCAAATCCTTTTAGTTGTAACCAGGCAGAGCTACTGAGCATGTTCTAGCTGGACTGTGAGAAGTAAACAGGTCTAATCTCCTGCACTCCATTGTATTGTCAGGTACAAACACTGAGTAAGAAGATTTTCTTCTGTACTCTTTGTGCTTTTCTTTAACCCTATCACCCACCTACTGTAGATTTGGTCCTTCAAATTCTGCTTCAGCAGTGTATTTCCAATACTGTTGTCCAGTTTTTCATTCAACTTTTCTCTCTTCTTTGCTTTTTCTACCTATTGCTACGCTTGTGTTCACAACAGATTATAATAAAATTGATCATTTTGAACAATGTAGGCTGTGTGTGGTTAAAAGTTATGAAATACTTMTTTTTGAGCATTCTGAAAACCTGTGTGTTGTGCATCTTTGGTGTTACTTTTCAAGTAACATTTTTAAACCATGAAGGCCATATTTTTTTCTSAATTGGAAAGGCCTTATATTTAAAATTTTCAAATTATGTATATGTGAAAGTTTGTATGTTTTTCTTAAAAGACAATTATCTTTAGGAATTCCTCTGAAGAGATCTGATTTTTTGTTTTCATCTAAATTTAGCAAATATAGAGAGAAGCCCATTCTTTCATTTGCAAAATCTTCTGGAAATTTATTTGGATGTTGCATACTGAACGTCAGTGAAACTAGGTGAGTCTGAATAATTTGGTTATCTAAGCAACTAATGAATTAATTGTATGTAAAAAAAAAAAAGATTAAAAATCCTATTTTTGACTTACAGTTCTAGGAAAAACTCTGGCATTTAACCTAAAATCTAGAAGATTCAATTATTATATAAATTACATAGCCTAGAAAAAAAGAGGGCAGAGATTAAGAAATATATTCCTGGCTTTACACTTAAGGTGAAAAACTGTGTATACACCAAATGTCTTTTTT